CTCTAATATGTTTTCATGGTTGAACTTCTCGCAGGTAAGCACGATTGTGCAAGGTCATAAGCAAAGTAACTATAAAAATGATATAGATAAAAAAAATCATTAATCGTTTATCAAAAAATTTTATTTTAATATTTAATATATTTTTAATATAAATAAATATTAACTATAAAATTTTTATCTTCAAATATTTGATTTATTTGAACATTTATATGCATAATTAATGTAACCTCCTTATTTTATTTATACGATTAGTTGAATAATTTAAACAAAAGAAAGGAAATAAAGACAACTTATTTATATTTATAATACTAGAATTTGACAAAAATTTAAAACTTTCACTTTTATTATTACTTAGTTCACAAATCATGTAATTATTTGAAATTATAAAAGACAAATGTCTAACAATTCATTTAAATTTCAATATAAATTTACACTAGGACTGTAGGAAAATATACATATAATAACTTTAATAATGTACAAGATTTTAATAATTACAAACTGTGATTCTAAAATACTTTAGGACTTGTATACATAATTTATAAAAGAGTCAAAATAACTTAAGTCCTAATAAGCAGTTATCTCTAAACCAAAAAATTGAGGATAATTCTATTCATCGTCTCCAAACCAACCCTCTATCTTTGCCAATTCCTCTGGAGTCAGGTCTTCTTATCCAATATCTCTAGTGTTAGCCACGACCTCAGTACCTATCTCTTGCTCGAAGATAAACCGGGTGGATTTTCCCATGCAATCATGATCAAGGAAGGGGTATGCATAGTTCACTGTGTTTGGCGTTTGGATTGTTTCTCAATATGTGTACTAGTTGAGTGTATGGCAAATCTTACCGCAAACAGGGTACTTAAAGGGAATACTATAGTCTATATTTATTTTTAAAGTACATATATTACCTGGTTCATCAATAATTGTTCGTGGACAAGTGTACCAGTCAAAAAGTAATAAAAAGGTTTTCAAAAAGAGTTCTCAAGTTATCATCCCACAGAGATTATTTTCAAGTATCAAGAATACCTTAATTCAATTGTTTAAACACAAAAGGAGTGTGATAAATTAAAAATAAGACTTAATATTAACAATTAATTGAAGCAAAAAATAATGCAACGTATGAGAGAAATCGAATGGGATGAGTCTAGGACTTATGGTTTCACCTATTATACTTCTTTATGTTCTAATTATTTAAACCTCAGTATTGGTATCCGAATATTTGCCAACCACTCATACTAGTTCTATTAACACTCAATGATCATGCAATATTAATATTCTTTTCCTGAACAATCACTCCCAATGATCGTGCAAGGCAAATGGTTGATAAAGCATAAAGACCTTATTTTTGTTAATTCAATAACGGTTGAAAGAGAGGAATTAAGTGTGATTAACCTAACTCTTTATCTCGTTTTATCTTATAGTTCCATTAATTACACGTGGTATGATCGCCTACGATGCAACAAATTATGATATGTTAAAGGTGATCAATTCTTAACATGCACAATATGATTCAATAGGATAAAAGCCAAACATTAAAAGAAAATTAATACCGATAGTAAAAGTAAAAATCACACAAAGTATGCATTAGGATCCCCCATAGTCGTAGCTATGGATTTAGTTATTCATAATGAAAAACATAATGAACCAATCCATAAAACACAAAGGAGAATGCTAACAAGAAAAACCTAAAAGGGAAAAAAGATGAAAAGAATTCTTGTTCTCCAAGGAGGTGCTCAATCACTCGCTTCGACTCCAAAGGAGTTTGTCGTCTTTGCTAATGATCTTCAATAACTCTCAACGATAAAGTGAGTCAGAACTAAGAAAGAGAAATAAAGTGTGTAGAGAATGGTGTAGAAACGTGTGTTAAGTGTGGAGCATAAGGCCTCTTTATATAGATGGGCCCTGAGTTCCTAGTCAGTTGAGCTTTATCTTTTCAAATAAGTTTTATCCACAATCAGAATCCCAACTAAAAAATCACTCCAAATCTTCATATATAAATCTTTATCTAAGTTTAAATTTTAAATTCAATATTCAAATGCATATTCACATAACACGGCAAAGAGCTAAAATTATCTAATTTTTATCCAGAATATCTCCATAATACATTAATAACAACTTCTAGCTAAACTGCAACAATTAATAGCATAATTATTGTAAATATATATAAAATAAGGTTTAAGTGTATAAATATAAGTCATAAAATATATCAAAATATGGACATATCGTTAATATCTACAATAAACTTACAGTGGCAGAACCTCTGTCATTATCTAATTTCATTTCTCCTCATGTCATAAATTTGTCACTTTCATAATCGCATAATTTTGTTCTTTTCTTTTTTTATTTTATTCAATTCTATGTTTTATATCATACATCAATTAACAACGCCGAAGGTCAGACACTTCAGACGCATCCAAAACATACATATTCAATACAATATATAATTCAAGTCATCAAAAACAAAGAAAAACACACTTCATCAAATTAACTAAGTCATCAATAGTTTCATTCAAACGCATATTTTCAAACAAAGAGAAACCATTTACATGTACTTTAAATATTTTCAATAAATCATACAAAATCATACTATTACACCCTCATGCATACAAAAATACATCATGTTTTCAATAATGGAATAGAGTTCTCCTTATCTCAAAGAGATGGTTTTCGTGAAGAGTTTCGTGGAAGAGATCGTCTAAAAGACCAAAATCTTTCTAAGCATCACAAAAGAAAGTACTTTGAGAAAGGAGAAAGCAGACGAAACAAAGGAGAGATTGAAGAGTTTAGCTCTGAGAAACTTACTTGAGATTAAGTAGAACAGATGTTTGAGTTCAAATTCGGGAAGAATTTGGAGCTCAGAGGGTTTTCTCTGGGATTAAGGGAAGAGAGAGTTCAAAGGAAAAATTAGAAAATGTTTCTTAGATTGTAATGCAAGTTTTAAGACTGGAAATTTCTTAAACACCCCTCTAAACTAGCGAGTTCTTGCTTGAGCGAAATCATTCTCGCGTAAACGAGGAAACCAGACAAAAATTTTCTTAATTTTTTTTTATATTCTCGCCCGAGTGAGAATGGGTTTAGAAAGCTTTTCATTTTTTCTGCGACTCATTGCTTGGGCAAGTCATTTCTTACTTGAGTGAGAGGACAGTTGAGACAATATTATCTTTTTTTCACTTGAGCAAGACTTATCTTACTTGAGCAAGAATGTTTGGTTCATAATACTCTGTCTAGTTTGAGTGAGATATATCTCGCCTAAGCAAAACATCTTATAGAAATTCACACTTTAAAATTTCTATTTTGAAAAAATACAATAATAATAAAAATAACAAAAATAAAAGTGTTACAATTAATATCACATTACTGATAATTGAATTGATAAAATACAATACAATGATTATAAAAATTAATAAGCAAAGTAACTTTTACACTCTAAGAATAACTTATCCCTCCCATAATCAATGTTATTATATCAAATAAAATTATATAGATAAATTTTAAATTAAAAAATATATTATAAAAATTTTAAATATATTTTAATATTAAATTAAAAATTAAACATTAAAAAAAAACATTCATTCAATTTAAAAATTCAACGTCGCCGAACACTCATTTAATGTCCAATATAGAAAGAATACTTAAGTCAAATTTAATAACTAAGTACTCCCAATTGAAAAAGTTTATAAAACATTCACTGAAAAATATTTATTTAAAAATGTATACTTCCAAATTATATATAAAGATTTTGATAAACTTAGACTAAATATCCTTAAAAATAAATATAAATAAAATATTTTTAAAAAGTCCTCATTTAAATAAATGATAATAAATAAATTATATTAAAGTACTAATAATAATATTTTAATTAATTTAATAAAAATTATATTTTTTATAATTATTTTAATAAAATTATAATTTTAATATTTAATATTAGATATAATTTTAATAATTTAATAAATCACCCCATTTCTCCCGATTTTGGGTGATTTTTGTTCATAATTTGTTTTTTCTTTAAATTTTTTCCTATCTTTTATCTTCATTTCTCTCTCCTAATTATTTTATTTTATTTTTAAAATACATCTATCAAAACACATTCTTAAAATTATTTTATCCTTACAATATTAATTAATGTTTATTTTAGTTTCTATAAAAAGTATTTTTATTCAATATATAAATTTATAAATAATTTAAAATCAGATTTATAAATAATTTAAAATCAGATTTAAAATTAATTTTAAATCAAATCTAAATTTTAAAATTTAATTTTAAACTAGTTTTGAAAAAATAAATAAATTATTTTAAAATTTAATTCATATAATTGAATTTAAAATAGATTTATATTAATTTTGTGTAAATTCAATCCATATAATTAGATTTAAAATAAATTTAGATTAGTTTTGCACATGTCCATTTCTAGTTGAGATGAATGGGAATGAAATTATGAATAGAAAGTCTCCCAGTCGCAAAAAAGTTTTTTGAACTAAGTTGACCGAAAAAAAAAAAAAAAACACCGATGAATAGCCAAAAAGATGGTATTCAGTAATAGTAATTTAAGACAATGTTAAAAAAGAATGATGAATAAAAAAAGTGTTAAGAATTAGAGACTAAAATATGAAAATGAAATAAGTCAGTGCGCTATCTTATAGGTGTATATCTTAGACGATGTATAACTTCAAAGACTAAATTAATGAAATAAAAAATTATCAATGACATTTTATAATTTCAAAGAATAAAATATCTCTTACTCGTATTGTCATCTATAAATAATAAGACTTAATTGGTTGAATATTTGTCCATGACGGTTTTGCTAACAATTTGTTCTATTCAACAATCTTTGTTCACATGGGCTCCGTGAAATTCGGAGGACATGAAAAAGAGATCGATACAGCTTTCAGTTGTGCAACATCTTATGCTATATATATAAACTGAGGCAAAACAAACATTATATACTCCTAATGCAAAACAGAATAGCGCATGATCTAGTTGTGTTTTGCTCAATTTCTAGAATCTACACTGAATCCTTTATCTTTGATAATGCTCAAAAGTATCGAGGTAGCAAAAAGGAAAGAAATGAAAAAACAAGAACAGGAAAAAGGATTCAAGTATGATAGATTCGCATCATACAGAGTATGGTTTATTTATAAAGCAACAAGCACCACGCAGAAGAGCAACATATAGAGTCACAGTTGCATATTCATTCCTCACTTCCACTTCTTGCCGAATCCATGCTTGCCAAATTTTCCATGCTTGAACTTTCCATGCTTTCCATGCTTGAACTTGCCATGCCCGTGCTTGAATTTTCCATGTGGCATGTGACCACCACCATATCCATAGTAGCCATGGGCTCCATGGGAGCCATGGGAGCCATGAGAGCCATGGGAAAGATGGTGAGCACCATAAGCAGCAGCAGCTGCGGCAGCACCTCCAGCAAGCATTGCTCCCATTCCACCATGCCCATGTCCGTGAGATCCTGGTGATTACAGCACAGAATTTAGCAACTTCCAAGGATATCGGAGCATATCAGAAAGCAGAAAAGTTATCAATTAGCCTATGCAATCAACTGATAAAAATCAGAACCTTCAACAAGTACAAACTGATTTCATATATAATAGAACAGAGAACAGCCATATCATACAGACATAAAAAGTTAATGCTTACAGGAGGGGGAAAATGTCAAGAGAAGACATTCACAATTCTAATTACCACATCACAGTCAATCATTTTAAGATCATGAAATGTTTTCCGGTTTTGCTAACCATGCCCTTGAGGCAGCGGTTAAGAATTGAAAGTAAAAAGATTTTATTGAAAATCATGTTGGGATTCAATGAAAATCATGAGCTGAAGTGCATTAATTATATATTTTAACAAAAAATTTATACTTTTGATTCCCTAACCGTGCATTGTTTAGCACTTGTGGATGTTTCTAAGCTAAAACAATTCCAAATTACTGTCTCCTTCAATGTTTCTCCTTTAAAAAAACAAAGTCTCAGCAAAGAAAAAAACGGAGAAATTGACAACAAGGAGAAAGCATGATTTCAATTTAAGGGACAACAGAGGAGAAAAAAACCAGAACACAGGTAATTTAAATCTTATGCTGAATGTAATTTGCAATATATATAAGCATATATGGTGTGATTAAGTAGACACTATTTCAACAAAGTTAATTAATAGTAATACTAGTAAGCAGGCAGCTTCACAAATTTTACAGCTACAATGGAATTCAGAATTCAATCTGTCAAGTGATTGTAATAACCAGTATCTTAAAAAGGTAAAAATGTAAAAAACAATTAAAAGGAAACAAACCTGGTGCATGTGGAGCAGATGGACCAGGATAGCCAGCTGGAGGGTAACCGGCTGGAGGGTAACCAGATGGTGGGTAACCAGAAGGAGGGTAGGCACCAGGAGGATACCCAGCTGGTGGATAGCCTTGTGAGGGTGGGTACCCTTGATGTGGAGGGTATGCCCCAGGTGGTGGTGGGTAACCCCCAGGTGGGTACCCATGTCCACCACCAGCTACCCCATGAGCAAGCTGTGAAAATATTCCTTTGTCAGATTCATCATGCTTGTCTTTTCCACCTCCCATCTTTCAAAACCAAGACCCTGATGATTAGAAACTCAGAATCAGGAATTGATATAACACAAATTAGATAAAAGCAAAGAAACAAAAAACAGGAAATTTCCAAATCCAAGCTATCATGCTAAAGTTCAAACTTCGCTATATTTATGTCATTAGTGAAATAATGTTGCATGCAAATAACTAAAACTAAAATTCAGTGTTGAACAAACTGTGATTGAAGATCTCAGACAGAAAAACTTTGGCGATCTCTGGAGGAACCATCATAACATCCAAGCATGTAAAAATCAAGGCACTACGTAACACCGTTGTATAATTTCAAGGATTTGACACGTTAAAAAAATAATATGTAAAACGTAAGGATGCTAAAAAATTGATCATGGTGAACAATTAGGGAACTCACCGATTTGAATTTGCTAAATAAGATGTAGTAATCGAGAAATTGCAATAGAAACGGAGGAACAAAAGAGAATTGGGGATCTAGTTTATGCTTTAAAGAGGTAGCCTTTTGTGGCTTTGTATTGGGGATTGACTCGGAAGATTGGGCTCGAGAACAAGAAACGCGTTACGCCTACGCGTCATTGACGCGGGCAATTGTCGTTTTAGCCGAGTGCCACGTGGAAGATCCTAATTGCACAATGCCACATCTTCTTGATTATTTCAACAAAGGTATTTTTATGAGCTTACCAAGTTTCATTTTTTGCCCTTTTTCTTAGCCAGGAGGTTGCCTTATGTTGCAAGAAAATAGCCCCCTTTTTTTTTAATTGGGTTTAGTATTTGGAAAAAAATCATTTAAAAATAAATTTTCCACGGCAATGCAATTTTTTGCCTTTTGGATATGGAGAATCTGGTTCTAATTAAGATTGGGCAGGAAAAGAAAATGTACTGAATGGCCAGAAGACTTCAACATTTTCTTTTAATTCAATTTCCACGGCAATACAATTTCTTATGTTTATTTATTTTATATTTTAATATATAAAATAAATATTAATTAAAATAAATGCATTTATTTTTTTATAAATATGAAAATGTTTAATTTTTATTTAATAATTAAAAATATTTATAAAAATAAAAGATAATATAATTAAAAACTATTCTCATAAGATTCAATTGGAGCTACATCCCGATGCCTCTCTATGAATAAATCGAACTATAAATTCATCAAGAAGCTTACGAAATCACCATATGATCTTAGTAATACTTTCTAATCATTATTCTTAATGTAAAATATTCGACTTGCGATAAAAGGAAATGGTCTTGTAACACGCAAAGCAAAACAACCTTTTTTTCCCCTTCTTATTATTATTTATAAAATTACTTACAATCTATAAAATATAAAATAACTATTACAATATTAAAAAATTTTCATATAGTAAATGATATATGTTTTTTCAACTGGGAGAAATTATTTAATTAGGATTAATATTTGGAAATTAAAATAAAATATATTATCCCGGCTATGCTATCTCATTTGAAGAATCCGGTTCCATTCCATTTAAGATAAGAAAGTAAAAAATAGTGAATGGCCAGAAAACTTCAATAGTTTTGATTCTATCAAAAGAAAAGCAGCCCCAATGTCACTATAAAAAAGTGTTCTATTTTTATTTATTTTTAATATCTTTTAAGATTGTAATATTTTTAATAATATAAATATTAAATGAAAGTATACATACAATAAATTTTAAAATATAAAAAATGCTTAATATTCTCTTAATTTAATATTTAAGAAAATTATAAAAAATAGATAATTAAAAGTAGGCTTGATTAGCTTTTTAATCTTATAAAAATAGTATTCCTTATAATTAATTCTTAAAAAGAATTTGTTAGGGTTTAGTCTCTAAATTTTTTAAATTGTTTAGAATCAATTCTTAAGTATTGTTAAGTGATAAGTTTGACAGTAAAATTTTGGGTCATCATTATCATATTATTTAATTATTTTAATATTTTATTATTAAAATGTTACAAAAAAGTTTTAAAATTTTTATTTATTTTTTGCACTTCCCTCTTTTCCTTTCTTCTCGCATTTGAAACCTGTAAACTCCTAATCAGAAGCTTAATCTGGCTATTATTATCAGGATTTAATTTGATTTTGGGGATTTCAACCATTGTTTTTAGGAAATGAATGAAAAGGATTTGCATAATAGTTGTTGGGTCAAACTAGATAGCACCACCAAACCAAAATCAACGTTTTGAACCCACCTCTTTGCAGCAAATCTCACCCACTCTTCACCAAATTCCTAAAAACGGAATCACCTAGAGAATTGTTAACGTCAATGATTCCTCTTCCAAGACCAATAATTTCTCTTACTCCTTGGCTGCAAATTCCTATATTTCATCCCTCACCAACAACACCAATACCAGGCAACCGGCAGGTAAACCTTCGTTTTTGTCTGAAGAGGAAGTGTAACTCTGAGAATTTGGATTCAAGCAAGTGGGCTTGCTCCTTTAGTCCTTGCCATTGTTCCAAGAAGAGGTATTTGGTCTCTTCAAAGTAGTTCCTTTTCGTTTCAAATGTCATTTTTAATTTGGATATTTTGTTCTCATGTTTTGGATTTTCCTTTGCTAGTAGGAAAATAAGGTTGAACAAGGTAGTGAGGGTATCGACTGTTAGCTTTGAATATGGTTGATATTCCATCAAATTATTATTCTTGGAGAAACTATGGACAAAAACCTATTAAAGGATCACCGGCTCATCCAAGGTAGATCATTTCTTTTTTTAATTTTATAACTATCCAAGGAGCTATGGATAAACTTTTTTTTTTCTTCAAAATTTTCTCCATTTTTATATTTTTTTTTATTTTTCTATATTGGTTTAAAATATAATCAATATGGAAAGTGTTTTCTACATCAGTTATTTTGACAACCGATGTTAAAAAGTTCTTATTATTTTCAAAGGGACATGATCTTCTTATACCAGTGTAAGTCTAAAAAATTTTACACCTAATTTGATTCTTTTATTTAATTTAAATCTAACAACCAGTAAAGTAATAAATTATAACCCGTTAGCAACTGAGGAGAAAATGACAAAAACTGAAGAAAAGATAGTGAGACTTTAACAAGAATGTCATATCTCCATCAATAACTTGCATTAATGAAGTTTAAAATATCCCACAAAAAGAAAAATATTGTTGTTGAGAGGAACAGGGTGAAGATTTTAGGATGTTTAATGATTGTGCTTTGATTTTTTATTACCATTATGAGCATTGTAGTAGCAATGAATATTGTTGGTAGAAAAGTTTTAAATATTGACAGTTTGTAATTCAATAGAGTGAAAGTTATTTTAAATATGGTTGAATGAATTTAATGACACAAGATTTATGCTTATGACTTTGTTCACTGTGTTTTTAATTCTGTTCAGCCTGTTGAATTAGTTGTATTCACTATAAAAACTGATCATGATTTGACAACAATACACAATTAATGTACTGTTGTGATTACTTATTAACTACCTTCATAAATTGAGTGTTGCATAACAGTACCTACAAATATGAACCATTTTTGTTTAACTACCTCCATAATTCAATTTTTTCATATTACTACCTTAAATTTCCAAATTTGGTAAATAACTAACCTATTTTTGTAATGAGTAACAAATTAGAAAATATGTGAAAATAAAACATCAACATATAGAACAGTGGTTCCAAAAAGTGCGCATGCTGCACATTGTTTAATGTAATCAAAAGGTATAGAAAATGATCCATAAAAGGGTTCTCATTCACATGAATACTAACTTAAAGTAAGTTATTGCACATTGTTTAAAATAAAGTTACATTACTTCCAATAAAATATAACATAAAGTACTATTCTCCCTCCTAAAATGGTTCTCAAAAAACACAATCTTCATTTAGAAATGGTTGGTTGACTTGGTGGAGTTGACAAAGGTGGTAGAGTTGGCCCTTCATTCAGATCTGCAGCATTGGCTTGATTCATCTCTGCAGTAGTAGATGTTCCCTGTGCTCTTACACTAGATCTTGTGGTTGGTCCCATACGTGGTCTTGTTGGCATTATTTTTGCTTATAAAGGTAAATCATTAGCAATTTTACTAAAGCCATAAAATGATGAGGCTAATACATATACCTTTTTCTGGATTGGTAAAGATGGTTGTGCATCTGCTGCTACAAGTGGAGAAGGTACTGAGCTTTCAACATTTGCCCTAACTGTTTCAGTGTGTGCTAGTTGTGGTGGTGCTGGCTGTGGACATGTTCTTGTGTTATGACCTTATACACCACATCTTTTACACTTATACTTACCAATATCTCTTATCAATCTTGTCAGATTTGGATTAATCTCATCAGGTTCCCTTCATCTCAATTTTTTAGGTCTTCCAGGACCATTTTTTTTTAAAATTATATTTTTGGAGGATAGGATCTCATCAAATTCAGTTTCAGGCCACATGTCCTGGCCATTTGTGGTGGAAATCTTGTGTGCATAACACATGACATAAGTATCCCGAGAATAATGGTCATCAACATAATTCGTTAAGTCCAATTTTTTGAATTGCAGGGCAGCCACAACATGCCTGCATGGAACGCCCACTAAATCTCAGAAATTACAACTGCAGTAGTTTCTATTGATATCTATTATAAACTTCTCACCAGAATATAAATGGGTCACTTCAAAGTCTCCATACTCTCCCCAACTTGCTACCCAATTCTCTGACTTTTCAACCTCCCTATTCAGTCGTTTTAAAGGCTTAGGCATAATCCGTCCCCTGTATGCACTAACTTTCTCCCCAAGGTTAGAAAACATATTCATCAAATACATCCTTATCCACTCAAACATTGTAATAATTGGTTTATCCCTTTCAATCAGAATTATGTTATTAAATGCTTCACTCAGATTATGCATTAGTATATCACATTTCGGATAACTTGAAAATTTATGATTACACCATACTCTCCTGTCCAGATTAAATCACTACCAGTAGGCAGCTTCATTCAAATCTCTAATTTGTTGCATGTAAGCCCTCCAAAGCTGTTCATATGTTGCTTTGGCAGCACCCATAATGAGATCTCTTAGTTGCAGTCCTCCTCCAAACTTCTTAAAATTATTGTATAAGTGCTTCAAACATAATCTACGCTCAACAGGAACAGAAAATTCTTCAAACACTTGCATCAAGCCCTGTCAAAAATGAACCAGAAACTCAGCAAAAATATTGAATGAAAATGACCTAACATCTCCAAATGAACCAACATCTAAAAATGGACATTGACTTTTTGTTGGTCACTCATAAAGACCCACTTGTTTTCCTCAATGGAGCCAATATCTTCTAAGAGCAAATTCAAAAATCATCTCCAGGTATCCTTTGTCTTAGTTTAGTCTCCACCATAGCAAAAGTCAAAGAAAGGTATTTATCATTTGGGCCTCTTCCAACAGAAATCAAAAGTTGGCCACCAAATTTGTTTTTTAAGTGACATCCATCCACTCCTATTAATGGCCGACATGCCTTCTTAAAGGCTAATTTTGGACCTTCAAGGCACATGTAAAAACTTTCAAACCTTGGTAAAATCTCCAAAG